AAGAATTTAATTGGATATAACTCTATGAATCATATCTTGAAATGAAGAAGACTCTTAGCATACAGAAAAACATATCTAATCTTTTGTAAATCTTTTATACTTCATGTAATCTACACATTCATAAATTTTTATTCAAAATAAAATAATATAAATGATTTTTAAACGACTACATCATACTCTTCAGAGATTTTTTCAGTATAAAAAGTCAAATATAATGACGATAATTTTTTTTTCAATTTACATACGTCAAAACAAGATAAATATTATTAAAAATGCTTTCACATAATATGATAATAATAACTATGGTCTTACCAGTTCTTTGCATAAGTAATTGCTTAGTTTCTTCCACTAATGTATCATATGTACCATTTTTATTTCCCATTTAATCTGATATATTGCGATAAATGATAGGATTTGTGTGATAAAACTCAATATTTAAGTCTAAATTCTTGCGACACGCTGTTGTTCGTGTAAAGATCTATTCACGTCACTATAGCTACCTCTAGACGTTTGAGAATGTCGATAGTGGAGCTGAAAGGACGAAGGTTTCTTTTATGTGCACTGAAAAAAGAGAACGAGCAAAAACAGAACACATTCGGGCGTCTGCATAGAGAAAAAAAGCTATGTCTGGCCTCGAATACATCTATAAGGCGTATCGACAACGATTATTCATAAAAACACGAGTCAGAATAAGAACAGCAAAACTTTATGGATGATATTTTTATAACGAAAATCATTTTGAATAAAAATACATGATGGTGGTATAGACAACATAGAAAACTTAATTAAAACTTTTCTAATTTGCCAACTTCAGAATCTTCCATGCCGATAATATTTTCATTATTTTCTTTTAATTATGTTTCTTTCATGTTGTCTATCAACGAGGAAAAAAAGCAGAAGCAAAGTACCTGACATTTTCTAGCACTTTTACTTTTAAAACTCATTCTATATGTGTCAGCGGCGTTGTAGTTGTTTTTATATTCAATTATTTGATACAGGAGTTTTTTAATCAACATCAACACATTGAGATTTAGTGTTACACATTTAGTTCGTTAAATGATTGTAGAGAATTGGAAAAAGAAACAGAAAAGAAATTTACAATTGAATCATCAAATACATCAACTTATGTTGCTACGTCTATAGTTAGATATACGTGTATGATAATGATGCTTTATGAAGATAAAAGAATCTATATATATATATATATCAATAGTCAATATGAATAGAAATTTCATATCAAAAGCTAAATACGTTCTTCACAATAATCATAAGTTTCGGTAACAGATGGGGAAGAACATTATCATATTATAGCCTTGAAAAAAAAAACAGTAAAAATATGCAAGATACTGAAAAATTTACTTTTACTCGAAGAAAACCTTGAGTATCGCCATCAGATTTTGATCAAATGAGTTATTTTTTTCTACTGATAATAATCATAAGAAAAAAAAGGAGAAGTGTTTAGAAACATAACTTTTGATATGTACATGTACAATTAGTGATTTTAATGAGTTTCGATACAATCATATGTTTATCTATATGATTCCAAAGAAATGATATGGAATATTTTCAATAAATGCATCAGAACATCGTTATTCGATCTTCAATTTTTATCACAGATCTTTATTTTCATTAATTTATGTTATCGGAAAATTTTACCTATAAGCAACTGAAACTATGAAGTAAATTATTTACAAAATATTATTGGTTTTTATTTTTTGTAACTCCTCAAAAATCAAAGACTTATAGTCATGTCAAATTGATATTTCAACATCATCTTATTCATTATTTTTCTTATGCATATAAACGGTAAACATTTCTCTATTGATAGTGAGTAATTTAATTCATTTGTTCAAAATATCACAGAAATACTTAAATATTTTTCCCAATAAACTTAACTTTGAACAATCGTAGAAATTTTAAGTAAACAATTATTAATAGTATAGAAGAAATATATAATTTTCAATTGAAATTTTGGAATGAATATTGTAATCAACAACATGATCAAATAAACAATTTAACCGTGAGATAAATATTAAAAAAAATAGATTTCAATCTTCAGTTTTTTTTGTCTATTCCGGAAGAAAGAACCGACTTTTAATCGTCTTTTTGTATAAGATTATATGTTTAAAAAAGACAGTATGCATGAATTGAGATACAAGTGAGTTAACAAATGTGAAAAAATGTGTGTTTACTACTTAGTATAAAGAAGAAAATTATGTCTTTTCAATGACGTAAATACAAATCTTTTGAATTATCATCCTTTGTATTTTTTTCCTTTCAGCATTTATATAATTATTCATAAGAATTAACTGCATGATAATGGTTGAAAAAAGACTCGAGGCAAAAAACGTAAAGTAGAAACAGATGATGCATAACCTTAATATGTTGGTCAACATCAAAATAAAACAGATTATGAGATACGATATGTATTGATGAGAAAACGTAATAAGTGTTCTTGAAAACGTCTAACTGACAATACGTTGATTTTCTCAAAGGAAAAAACGAATTTGAAATCAAGTGAATCAATTGTATTAAGATATTTCAATTGATAATGAAGAAGAATGTAGCCAGTGATTCATGATTATTCATACTAAACATCGATAAAACTTACGCGGGAACGTTTTGAAGTGTCAAATCGTTTTTGAGTCGGGACTATGTAGATCATGTAGAATCTAATGAGTTATGAATATTTTGAAAAAGAGTTCGCAATAAATAGCTTATTTCACTGCGAAGATATTGTATTTTTACTGTATTTTTCAGTAGAATACAGTTGTCCTTCTCAGGAAGACCAGAAAAAACTGAATTTCGAACTACGACCTGAAACTTTCCATAGAGACAGGTCTTGATGAAAATAGTTTTTTGTAAAAGTTTCAGATCTTTTAATTGCTTTTATCCTAACATATGGCTATGGTAAGAGCATATTTTTCAGGTCGTACATATATAACGGTAATAGTCAATATTCTTATTCCAAAAGCTGCACAATTGAAAAATCTGAAGCTTTCACAACAAGCTATTCTCATTAACATCTGTCTGTGTGCAAAGTAACACATGTGCAGGATTAGTCTCGGTCACTGGGACCAACAGATAAAACTTGATGGGAACCGAACCGAGACGGGGATCAAAATAAGTTGGTCCCGTACATGTCTAGTGTGAAGTCTGAAGTCGAACTTGGAAACTCAGTTTTTCTGGTGTTTCTGAGAGGGATCATGACATTCAACTAATAAATACACTATTTCGACAGTAATAAATTATTTTCTTGAACTCTATTTAAGGTATTCATAGCTTATTAGAACGTAAATGTTGCACATATTCCAGACTCAAAGGCTAGTGGACACGGAGAAGTGTTTCCTCGTTAGGAATGATATTTTCATAGTTAAAACCACATCATAGTTTCCATATATTAGTAATCAAGTGTTTTGTTTGAAAATGATGCGTATTTGAAATTTATATACATGCAAAAACGAATGCATCAATATTAAAAGTAAGACCATTCTGTAATTGGCTTGTAAGGATATCAATATCTGTACTCAGATTTCACAACTAAACCTCAAGTAAACACTCCACTTTGAGTACTTAACAAAAAGATCGATATCACAAATTCAAGATGATTATTCATCAAATCAAAGGAGTTCTTTTTTAAAACTTACTAAAATAAAACTTTAATTAATTATTTCTAATTGAACTAAATGATTTATATCATTATAATGATGAATATTTTTTATTTTATTCGAACAGAACATAAGAAAACATTAAATATATATTGAATGACATCGCAACAATAAGGAAAAGAAAAAAAAACAAGATTTTCATTTTTTTTTTTCTTTTTAAGCAATACTCAGCAAACCTAAATCAATAAGTTGTTGAATTTTATTACGCATTGATGCATCAGCAGTACGCATTATCCTATATGAAAAGACAAAACATAATTTTTTGTATAAAAAAAATAAATATACTTCATACCATTGTGCTTTACCGGGTTCTTCACGTAACATTTTCATAAGTTTAACAACATCTGGATCCAGTAATAATTGTCGAACTTGTTCGTCTTGTAAAAGTTTATTAACTTCTGGATCAACATTTGTCTTTTTTTGTTTTTCTTCTTTACCTACTATTGAAGTAAAATGATTACCTAATTAAGAAAGAAAATAAATATGACAATTATTATTATTATTATCATATGAAAAATATTGTTTTTACCAAGTATTTTAGCCATTCGATCAAAAAATTGCATAACTTCAGCATTATGTCCATATTTTGCAAGTGCTTCTTGAGGTTTATGTTGAAATAAAGTGATAGCTTCCATAAAATATGGATTAGAAAAATATCGAGATAATGATTCATCATCTTCAATTTGTTTTAAAAGATCATTTGTTAACCAATTATCTAGAATTTATTTTATTTTTTGATTATAAAATAAACTAAAAACAAACGATTTCAAACTTTTTGCTTGTTGTTCTTCTTTAATAACTTGTTGAACTTCATCAAATACACGAAAATCTTTTGTTTGTTCAGCTTTTTTCGATGATATTTCAATTAATTCATTCGATTTCGATTGTGGTGTTGAACTACTATTTAAAAAACCTTTTTTCATACCAGCAAAACTTTTTTCTGTTACAGTTTTTTCTATAAAAATAAAACATCTTAAAACAAAAAAAAATTGCTTCCATCATACAATACCTTTCGGTTGTGTTTCGACATGTTTCACTACTGGAGTTGATACTTGTTTTGGTGCTGTTGTATTTATCGGAATATCTTCCAATGGTGGAATATCTAATTAAATTGAAACAAGAAAAAAGAAGAAACTCCAATATTTTGATTCTTTATATATTTTTCCTTTTACCATCTACGTCAGACATAGTTTATTATAAATCTAAAAAATTCATAATGGAATCAAATAGCAACAAATAATTCCATTTAAAACTCATTCCAAAAAAAAACTCAATCTTTCATTTTTTTTCTTTTTTTGTGTTCGACAAACAATTTCTACTGACATAAGTGAAATGGCAACAGCAATAAACACAGTTACAAAAACAGCATCAGTTGTAAAAACTACAAAAGGAAGTGAAAAAAAATGGTCGGAAATTTTATCCATGAATCGTCGTCATGATTTACAATTACCAATTGATATAGCTAAATATGATCAAGACTTAAAACGTACATATAATTCACATCAACGTCATAAATATCAAGCTGAACGTATATGGGCTAATAAACATGAAACATGGTATCATGATGATTTCTTATTTCGTACTCATTTACTTAAACAATTAAAACCAATAACAAGACGTTTTAAACATATTGATTCATTATCATTAGACGACAATCAAGATCAACAACAACAACAAAATCAAATATTAAATGAGGATGAAGTGGAAGTTTTATCACCGACAACATCAATAATAGAAAAAAAAGAAAATCCTACTAAAGAATTACCACCAATAAAACAAAACAAGAAACGTTCAAGTATTCGACATTTTCAAAACTATGCCAATGAAGAAACTCGTCCACCAAATATTGTTTTATCCAAATTGGTTTGTTCAAAAGTATTAAATGAATATGAACCAAGACTTTATTCTCATGCTCATGCATCATTTTTAGATGTAGCACAACGTTTCCTTAAACATAAACCTGAGTCAATTGAAAAACGTGTTGATCATAAAATGAAACAACAACAACAAAAACAATATTTCAAAGTACTAATTGATAATGAAAAAGAACGAACAAGATTAGCTACTATCAAATTTCAACAACAATTACAAGAAGATAAAGATAAAGAAAATAATTATGATGATCATGATGATGATGATGATAATGACAGTTTCTATACAAGACCTTTTTAAATAAATATTTCTTAAATAAAAACAAAAAAAAACAGAAATATTTTTCTTTTTGAAATTATTTATTTATTATATCGTTTTTAAAAACTACGGACAACACAGCAAGACAAGAAAAAAAAAAAAAGCAAAATTTATACAAAGTTATTCGAATAAATAAAATTTTTCAATAAAACTAAACGTATTAATACGCAAAATAAACCAGAAAAACTACATGTCTACCAAATAAATTTAAAACAGAAAAGAAAACAAAACACTGTTTAATACAAGATTCTGAATAAACTAATCAGTAACACGAATTAAACTATCATCGCTATTATGAATAATAAAATCTAAATCTTTTTCACGCATATTTTTAAGACTGTTCATTAATGCATCAAATGATGTACCTGCTAGAAGAGAACTACTTTTACCACTATCTATTAAATGATCATGACCATTATTAAATTCATTTGTTATTTCGAATGTATTTAATGATGATATGAAAACTGGTGAACGACAACGTGAACTAATTGTACTTGAATCATCTCCAGATGGTGTACCAATATATCGATTTTGTAATGTTGAATTTATTTCAGATGTACGTTTCGTATCACTTGTTGGACTACGAATATTTTCTATGACATCACTATTAATTATAGATGCATGATGAGTTTTATTAGTAGATTGATCAGCATTAATTCCATTAATAGAATGTGATAATACTTGTGATTCATCTATAAATATGAAACAAAAAAAAAAACTGTTAGCTCAAAAAGAAATTTTGCAGGTTAGTTTCTGTTTTTAATTTAATAAATGATGTAAAAATAATGTCACAAAACTTCAATCCCTATTTTTCTTGTATTGACGAATGCCGAAAGAAAACTTTTTTATATAAATAGATGGAACTTTTTCTATTCTTTCGAATCGTATATAATTTGTTCTTATAACACGTTGATCAACGAAATGACACAACAGAAAAGAGAAGTACACCATAACAAAGACTGCATGTTTCGTAAGGTTTGAAAAAACTATGCAAAATATTGATCATTATATCTATTTGATAATCACATTTCGAAATAAACATTCGTTTTTTTTTTGCTAGTCGATAGGAAATTTTCTCGCCTATTGCAAACAATGTATGATTATTGTACCTTAAAAATATCTTAGTAGATGGCAATTAATTATAATCAACTGCCATTTTGAGTGGTGTCACATATCCAAGATTTTGGAGAAGTGCTCACTTCTCCCACAGGAGATGCGGCACCTCCCGCGGGAGACGCGGCACCCACACTCGAGAGATGGGGTGATTTTCTGTTGGAGATGTATCATCTCATTGAGAGATGTGCATCCCTCACACTGGAGGCTGCATCTCCCGCTGAAAATGCAGCATCTCTCGGCGGAGATTTGAGCACTTGTCCAAATTCCAGGATATGTGACACTGCTGAAAAGAAATTTTCCTATCAACTAGGCAAAGATATTTATTTCTAACGTGTTTTTCAAGGAGTTATAGAGATCAACATTTTGAGCTATTTTTGTCGATCTCACGAAAGATGCAGTTTGTTTTTCAGAGATATACTTTTCTTTTCTGTTGAGTCGTTTCGTCGATGGACATATTGTAAACACAAATAATATACTATTTCAAAGAGAGAAAAACATTTCAAAAATATCGTTTTTTTTTCGAATTTCAGCATTTCGAATGCAATAGATTTCAATTGTTTGTAATAATCTATTCAAAGAGAAGCAAATCGAGTATTTTTGTAGAGCAAATCTCGCTATACAAACGGATGTATCAAAAGAATTGCTTATAGTTTGAATTGAGATCATTTTTAATCAGAATAAAATATAAAGCCACAGAAAAAAATGTTGAAAAGTCATCTTTTTTAGCCTGTATCAAAGATTTGCTCTTGATGAATTAACTCTAGGCAAGAAAAAAAAATCTGATTATATAATTAAAGCAAACATGAAGGTATAATTCTATCTGATAACGTTTGATTCTTTTCAATGATTTATAAGTGAAGAATAGTTGACCAGATATGATATACAAAAACTTTTTCCACACAGGTTATTATTACACTTTGAATGCAAGAAATGTAATAAATAGTCTTTATTTGTACTTTACAGTGTTTATTTCATATTGATCGATATACTCTTATCTGAACGAAAATAAATGATATTAAATTCATCTATCTAGTTGACTCTATTATATTTCAATCTCCTATGTCTATTAAAATTACTATGAAATAACACTTAAAAGTATACCATTACATCAATCATGAATAATTAGTCACAAAATTAGAAGATTTTATCTTATGTATTATCATATAACTGAAACAGGAAACACATTTCATGCTCATTATTCTATATGATTGCTTCAGATTACGTCATTAGGTAATCAATGCATAGTAAAAATAACTTATTAACTTTTTTTTCAGTTGATAATCAGTGATTCAACGATGCATCATTGAATTTTATGTCAAATAAATTCTTTTATAAATAATTCTAATGTTATAACAAACTGAATAAAAACTTGTTAGTACAATCACTACGAGATTGAAAACATCATGCTTTAAGTTAGTCTTTCTAAATATCTAATAACAAATCAATTTATATATTGTAACAAAACCTTATTGATATACGGTCTGTGATCATATATCAACAAGAATGACAATATTTTTGATCATCAACTTTTTTTCAGCATACATTTCACATTATTATTTGTTAATAAAATGTAGCTCTTGCTACAGACCGACGACAACATCATCCTGATATTATTTGATGCTTTCACACTTATTCTGTGGTGTTCGGTCACTGTCAATCAGATCAATTAATTAAGGGTATTGTTGATCTGAATAAGAATCCTTGTGTACAAAGCAAACAATATATAAATATTCTCTACGATATTAACGTAGGAAACAATCTGTTTAGTACATCTCTAGATTACAAATACCATGGCACCGGGATTCTGTCATATGCTCTACCAGCTAGATAAATTAGTGTCTAGGGTACTGGTGATCTGGAAAAGAGCCATATTTTTAAATGGTCACGTAGTTTTGCTACAGATACACGTACTCTCTTTACTAAATGCTTTGATCATACATTAGTCTGTTTGATTCATGAAAACATAATGCTAAATGTGTATAAGGCGATGTGCAGATCGTCTGGAAGCACTCACGAAAAAAAAATCAAGAATCATTCCTTGAATAAAATTAGTGATTAAAAGTACTTTTTCCTCAGTTAACAACATCTGTAATCGTCTTTGACTAGTGTCTGCCGTAGTCTTGAGAGAAAGTGTAAATTTTCATTCAATATACTTCAACACTCCTTTTAGATTGTGTTGCATAAAAAAATTGAGGTGTATTATTAATTATAACTAAGAGTATATATTATGAATCTTACGTGTATTAATTTTATTTGGAAAATTTGATGTAATTGTTGTTGTTGATGATGAAACCGTTGAATTTACATTAATTTTAGTTTGATTAATATCATCTGAAAGAGATGAATCATATTGCCGACGATTATCTAATAAATATTCGTGTTGATTTAATGATGCTGTTGATGTTGATGAAATATCAGATTGATATTTATTTTTAGTTTGATCATAATAATTAAAATTTCTTTTTATTTGTTGATTTTTATCATTATTATTATTATTATCATCATCATCATCATCAAGATCACTAATAAGTTCATTTGAATTATTTTTATATATTGATTGTTGATATGATTGAAGAAATTCTTTCGTAAATGTTTTTGGTGATGATTGTAATATAGATGAATCTTTTGTTTGATAATTCATATCATCTTGTTCCGTAAGTCGTTTTTCTAATAATGTACGTAAAGTATTTAATTGATCCGTGACACGTATACCATAATTTTTTGGTGATGGAACTGGAAAAAAAAATAAATAAAATGCAAAATCAAATAAAAGAAAACTAAAATTTTAGCATAAAAGAAAGAAAAAAAAAAGGTAAACTTAAAAAAGACGATAAATATTATCATCATATGGTTGATATGATTTAATTACAGGTGTTAAATCAGTTCGTCTACGTCGAAAATTTATTGAATGATTATTTAATGGAATAATTCCATTTCTATTTGGATATTTGTCGAAGAGAATTGTCATAGGTAATAATGACTTACTAAATGATGTTGATGTTGATAATTTTTCATCATAAAGATGTTTTATTTGATCAAGTGGTGTTTGCATAAAATTATTTGATGTTTGATCAGAAAATTGTTCAAGTAACAATTGATCATCAGTTTGTTCTTGTTCATTTTTCATAATATGAATATTATTTATTGTTTGACAAGCTTCATTACGTGTTGAATATGTTTTTCTATTATGTTGAATATCATCAGAATCAGAACTATGATGAATATGATATGGAACTATTCGATGATGACGTTTTGATGATGAATATCGAGGCTTTTCATTATTTGTATTTGTTAAATTAATTGTTGTTGATGATGATGATGAAGGTGTTGGGGATGGTTTTCTATGACGATTTCGATGATGAGTTTTATTTGGTGATGAAAATGATTTTTTCGATGATGTTGATATAATATCAGATTTATGATAAGTATTTTTTGGTGTTGCTGTTGGTGATGTTCGTTGAGTTATTGTTGTTAAATTATTGGGTTTAAGATCATCTATTTGAAAAAGAAAAACAGTTTCATTTTCAATATAGCTCTCGTATTAAGCTGACTTTGGATGAATGTTTTATATCAAAGGTACAGTCAATGTCTATTAATGATGAGCGGAGCCAGTCATCTTTGGTTCCGATCAAAAAAAAAGTTTTGATTCTGATTTCGCGTTTAGTAAAACAAATACTAGCGAAAAATGCGACATCATTTTCTATTAGTGTCAACGTAATCAAGACATCTTGTACAACCTATGTGATTTCTCATGTATTCCCTCTTGGAGATTCACTAGTATTTCATCGACTGTGTACGTTTATGTGTTCGACAATTCTTTTGTTTACGAAAAAAAAAGGATTACTTTTACTATCAAAACTGTGATAGCAAATACTGAAGTGATCGTTCGTCAATAATTTTCGTATAAACTTATTGAACGTGTAAACCATAATAATATGACTTTTGATGCAAATCTTACATGACCATAAAAGATATTATTCTCAATAACAAAGTGTTGGTCCTGGTCTTGGTCTTATCATGCCCATATCATGTGTCTATACTACATGTACAGAAAACTCCACTACTAAATGTTGATTGATAATGAAATTGAACATATAACAATCTGGAATAGTTGATTTTTTTTTGGATAAAAATATTTGGACGATCTTTTAAATTCAATTATTTTTTCCAGAGTTGTTCGAAGAAAAATTGAACCCATACAAATGGAAAGAGGAGAGCGCTAGTCTACAACTTCTTGAATCCTTCGCTTCCCTAAAAAAGTCAATTCTCGTAAAAGTATGAAAATTGAGATTAACGCATGGAAACATAGCCTGAGATCTGATCTTTTATAAATGACAGGATTTTATATTTAGTAACTCGTTTTTTTCTCAAAAAGTTCCATTATTTTCTGCTTGAGAAACGTGGCTTTTTTTCGATAAGGCAGAAAATATTTTTCGCTTTTTGTCTATTTATGTTTCTTTAGATGGGTACATCCAAAAATTCTCGAAGGAACTTCATTGTAGTCAATGATTTTTTGTTTTTATTTGAAAGAGTATGTTATGATGCAGGGCATGATACAGTCCATTTTTTTCTTTTATTTGAACTTCAGTACTACTATATAAAAGTATCTTTATAATTAGAGGCATTGAACTTTTCTTCCCTTAAAAGAATAAAAAATTCAAAATAGGATTTTCGGTTGTCAAATGAGTTATTTTTGACTTTCGTTTGCTGAATATCTCATGAAAACATCATGATGTAGAACTGACAATTTTATCATGACCTCTTCACTACAGTCCCAATATATCCTGAACACTTCATGCAATTTGAATGTACTTAACTCAAGATCCAGTCTTGAAGGTTTGGAGAGGGAAAGAGCCTTAAAAGCGAATTGTTTATAACGTAATGCGCCATTTTTCTTTCGAAAACTCACATTCGAAACAGTATCAGACATTGTATAAAGTGGTAGATTTGCTTAAAATTTCAGAAAGGATATATTCGATTTTTGAAAGATTACTTTCTGAAATATTTTTGGTGTCTAACACTATTTTGACCGAACTATTTAGTAAGCAAAACATATCACAGATAGTAAAATAGAGATATTACATTATAGACAATTCGCTTTTGAAGAGGTTTTAGTTACCAAAACGTAGCTCGTGTTATTCTCTTGCCATTTATATGAGTTCAAGTTTTGCTAATAACAATTCAGGAAAACATAATTCAGATTAAAAGATTTTTCAAAAAAAAATTTTTCAGTAAAAACTTACTATTTCAGATTGTCGTATGTCCTATTCCCCTATGAGTCAATATTTAGGAGTGAATTTTTCTGTGCATATAGTATATAAGCACTGACTATACCTTTGATGCAAACTACCCATTGAAAGTCAACTTTATACGAAAGTTATTATTAAAAAACAAATATTTCAAAAAAGTTTTGTCTAGTATTATATTTACTTGAATATAATGGATCGTCACGATTACTGAAAAATCCAGTTTGATCCCTATGTGTTGCTTGTCGATCAGAATAGAGACCTTGATCAGTATCTGTTGTTATTGTTGTTGTTGTATATGTATCCGATTGCTTATTGAAATTTAAATTTTCAACAGGACCATTCTGTTTAGTAGTTTTTTTATAATGATGAGTTGCAGTGGCAAATTTAGTTATTTTAGTTCCAAGACTTTCTGTACCTGTTGTACTACTGTATTGATTATCATCTGACATTTGTATCGGAGCTATTGGTATTATACGTGTTGAACTTGGTGGTTCAATTGATGAATCCGAAAGACGTCGTGTTGGAAGATTTGAAGGTACTGGAACTGTTTTCCATTGTTGTGTAGTTTTATTATCATTTATTTGAATTGGTAAAGATTTTTTAATATCAGTTTGTGGTAATGGAAAATAACTTGATGGACTTTCATCTTGATGATGTTTGTTTTTTCGTTGTTGTTCATAACGTGTTAAATAAAAACTGCTACTTTGATTTTGATTGTTAGGATTTGTATTAACAAGAAATTCACGTGTTGATGATAGAACAGATTTTATTCGTAGATTATCACTATTACCACTTATCGGTATATCATCATCTACTATTTGCCAATCAATAGTTGGTGATTCTGTTGTTGTTGTCATTTTACGAGTATCGAAGTCTAGGAAAAAAGATTGATAGAAATATGTTTATGAAATCAAGTTGAAGAATTAATAGTATGACATGGATTGTAACGCACGCTTTTCTTCAAAATCAACGTATGTTTGACTATTATGTGGAATGCACTCTTTGCTAGTCGATGAAATATAATTTATTAATTCAATTATTGAACGGATTCTTAATTAAGAGGATACAAATTGATTTTTAGATATTAGCACTTATAGATATCATAGGAGTCATTTTTTTTTGTACTTGTTATATATTTTACTAAATAGAAGCTACCGGATTGACATTTTTTGAATCCGGATCGATTGATCAAACTTTTTTTTTCGGATACGGCCAAACTGTACTTTGATACTCTCAAAGAAATCTTCTAATTAGAATCGGGTACCCGTCTCAAAAATACAAGATACCTTTTCCGATTTTCTTTGGTAACTAGCGCATTCTACACACTTCTTAGACGACTATAGTTCATCGGATCCAAAATTTTCGGACTCGGATCCAACGAGCTTCAACATTAAAGCGAGATTTTAAAGTTTATTATAACTGACTACCGATTGATAATGTTATTTTTTCTTTTTCACAAAAATTAATCATTTTTCAAGCTTAAAAGATAAGTTATCCATCACTAAGAAGTGTGAATAAATCTTCTAACTATAATTCACAAGCCTTTCTTGATCAATGAATATTTAATTTAAATGGTTTTACTCAGTTTCATATGAATGAGCATATTTTTGATCAATACAATTGTTCATCATTGTTAAAATAACAATAAACTACGCTCGTATTGCGACACACTGTAATTAATATCTTCTTATCATAAGACGTAATAACTCAGTTGAATGATTCAGGAGGCCGGATTTGTATTTTTCCGGTCCGGAAAAATGGTTAAAACTTGGAAGTAAGGTTCCGATCATCGAACCTTCATATATCTAACATTTTCTAATAAAAAAGACACACATTCAGGCGTCAAAATTCTTGACCTCGATAGACATCAACGAAAACTTTTTTTTATTTATGGTAGATGCAATTTTATCCTACAGGAAGGTTATATTAAATAAATTCAAACCTATTTGATTTGTTGCCATATAAGTTTGATGATCAACTGATGAAATAAGTCGATGAACTGGTGTTGATGCTGTTGCTGGTTCAAAATTTCTTTGTGGTTCTTCTCTAATTATCAATTTTTCTGAATAATCTTGTTGATCATCATGAAAATAATTTCTTTGTATATTTGTCATTGGCATTGATCGATGTCGATGTCTAATACTAATATCACGAATACGTGATGCATATTGAAGAGTATTTAATGAACATTGACAACAATCATCAGGTGGTGAAACATTAGCCATTAAACATGTACGAGTTTTCGTACCAACAAGTGAATCACGTAATATATGTGTTAATTTACTTTGTCGAAATGGTGCATGAAAATGTGTCATATCCATTGAACGAATACATTCTTTTAATGCTAATAATGATGAATTTATTTGTGCACCTTCACGACGTGTTTGTCGTTGATTATTTTGTGCATCTGTTGCACGTTCACTACCAGCTAAATCAATAAAAACAAGTTTAAAATTTTCCGCTTGATCATAAGTATTTTTTAATATTATTTGAAAAATTGCATGTGAACGTGATGAATTTGTATTGAATGCACTTTTTCCATGATGTCGTCTTGTAAGACCATCATTAATAACAGAACGTAAAATATCTAAATTTTTTAAAACAATTTCTGTTATACCAACTATATTAACAGAATGACCACTATCTTCACGTACAAATAATCTAAAGAATAAATATTGATTTGTATGTTTCTTTGAGAAGAAAAACAAAAAAATGTTTTTATATAACCTTTTTCCAGTATGACTTAAATCATAAAGTTGATTATTATAAATTTCATAAAATGAACAAATAAGTTTATTTTTTAAATTAACTTCTTGTAAAAGTAATTGTGCACAATAGATAAGTAGACCATCAGTATTTTTACTACCAAATATTGTATGACTTTTACCTGAAAATTTTAATGAAATAAAAATTATTTGAACTAAAAATAAACAAACCAGATCCTGTTTGACCAAAACAAATATATGTTAAATTCTGAAGATGATTTGTTGTTATGAATGGTAAAACTGTACATTCAAATACTTGTTTATTTGATGCATCAGAACCAAATACTTGATCGAACTGAAATTCACTCTATTTGAAAATATAAAATTGATGTTTTTTCTTCTAGAATTGTTTTTTTTTTTTTTTTTGTTAGAAAATAAATACCTTTTTAAGGAGTTGTGTACAATCAAGATTAGCTTTATTTTCTGCAATAATTATACGTTTATTATCTGGTACTGATATTGTATCATGAAAATTAATTTCATTTGACAATAATGGTCGTTTACGAGCAAATACATATATTTCAGCTGGTTTAGCATAAGAGATTATATCTGTTGTACTATGTGATGATGGAACAAATACTGAAGCATGATTTGAATTTTTCTCATGTTGATAATGAACATGATGAGGAGTATTTCGTTGATGTTTATTTGTTGGTACACCATAATTATAGGATTTTACCTATTTAAATATATAGAAAAATTAAGAATTAGAAGAAATGAATTCTTCATTTTTAGCATTCGTTATTAATGTAAGATGCTATGAATCATTACTTAAAAAAACTTGAGGAATGATCAGTTCAATCATTATCAGTTATCAAACTGTAACCTGATTATGTTCGATTAATTGAATTGTATATCATTCGTCGACAGCATACTTTGTCGACAGACATTTCGTCGACAACTATCGTCGACAGACATTTTGTCAACATCTTTCGTCGACAATGCATTTTTCATCTGAATTATGACCTTCTATAATATTTGAATACGGTTCACACAGAATGGCAGAATTTATATGCCCATCGTATTGACAAGAAACATCATAACAGATAGCATATCATCCATGTTTTTCAAGAAAAGTTCGCTTCAATCAACATATTCAACATGTGACCATGGACAACACGAATATGCATGGAAAACGAACATGTCACATCCAAGAATGTCTCGAAATTCTTGCAGATTGATTCAAGAAGAAAGAGATGAATTTCGTGAAAGATGTTCAAGGCCTATCGTTGCTGACCAAACAGAAGATATGATTCAGCATAACAACAGAGAAAAAAACAATCCTTCTCGTTGCTAGTCTTTTGTATCTTTCTTCTCATTATCAATTTTTGTTAGTGTACTTCATAAATGTTATCTATATCTATGAATATACTATTTGTTATTTTCTGTTGTATCTCCTTGATCAAATAGAAAAGATAGGCTGATACTTATTGACATTTGTATTTCATCACGAATATTTTTCCACGAAATGTCTGTCGACAATACTTTGTCGACGAATGATATGATTACCGATTAATTGAGATTTTGAAGCACATTAGTTATTAATAAGATATTTGACCTAAGGTTTTATAGTGGTGTGTAGTTAGTTGATATCGAGAACTTAAGGTAATACTGCTGATGAATAAAGGGTGTACAATAAGTTCTGATTCTCTTCATGCAATATGCTTTTCCTATATGTTTTTCCAGTAGAATAGGCTGATATTTGCAGCATATATATTAGACATCTAGATCTATTCTACACTAAAATATCAGCTTTATATCCTTTATAATTATGAAGATACAATATGACATAAAAGTTAATGAACATTTTTGATTTATACAGAAAGGACAGTTATTCGAAGAAAAAATTGAATATCTCGATTAGGGCTCGAGCAAATGAGCTGATTTTTTTATCAGTGATAGAGGCATGTTCAAGCTTTTTATCCATAAAGACATGCCTAAACAAATACTTTGTTTTTCCGTCCTATCTGTGAAAAAGTAAGATTCTTCTTGTCGAAATCAATAGTGATACTTAATAAAGAATCTCTCTTGGCATGTCTTTATGGATAAAAAGCTTGAACATGCTTCTATCACTGATAAAAAAAAATCAGCTCATTTGCTCGAACCCTAATGGAGATATTCAATTTGTTCTTTGGATAATTGTCCTTCCTGTGTAAATCAAAAATTTTCATTAATTTGTATGTCATATTGTATCTTCATAATTATAAGGGATATAAAGCTGATATTTTAGTGTAGAATACATCTAGATGTCTAGTATATATGCTGCAAATATCAGCCTATTCTACTGAAAAAAAACATATAGGAAAAGCATATTACATGAAGAGGATCAGAACTTATTATACACCCTTTATGTCATATTCAATCTCCGTAATCACAACGGATAGAAAGCTGAAATTTTAGTATAGAATAGATCTAGATGCCTTGTATATATGTTGCAAATATCAGCCTATTCTACTAGAAAAACATATAGGAAAAGCATATTGCATGAAGGGAATCAGAACTTATTTTACACCCTTTATGTTGAATGTCATAATCATTCTATAATGAACTTGTTCAGAAAAGAAAGTTAAGTCTCTCACTGAAAAATCAATGTTTGTTCCAGAGTACAATATCTGACTAACACGCTTAGAGAATATAGGTTCAAGTATGTGTAGTTCATAGTTAAAACTTCAATACAAAATATCAAACTGTCCAAGAGTTATCATCGTGCTAACCATCAAAATGTAGGTTTTCGTCCTTTAATAATTTCTCTTTTAAATCTAATGAAATAAATTTCGGATTCATGTTAAAATATAGATGAGACCTGTCGTTATAACTTAACAAGATACAATTTTTTTTTAAATTTTTTTTGTTTTAAAATTCTAATCAAAGCTTCCCTTAAAACATCTGAAAAATAGAGACATTTTTACCGAAAAAAATGCAAATGTTTTCAAAAAAGTAAAACATGAAAAATTCAGTTGAACACTAGAATGAGTTCCAACATCTATACTAATGAAGAAGTTGCCTCAGGTTTTTCAAATAGATCACTCTATCTTTTCGCTATAAGTAATTTTAAACCTTAATAATACTAAATTATACAGTAACGAAGCTTCACAAGTAAAGTACTTGACCTGAAGTATCTGCTTCTATCTATCAGAAACAAAACGAGTAATATAATATTTAAATGAAGTTAGATATGTAAAAAAAAAATTAGAAACTATCAAATGATAGCGGCAGTCTGCATAACAATAATGACATCGTATCACGTTTCAACACTACGAACAAAAAATAAAACCAAAAATTGAACATCTGTCTTGGTTGTAAAGAAATGATTTGAGAGAGAAACAAACTTCAACAGCATTGTAAAAACTCCAGCGCAAGTATTCATATATTTATTCATTAACCAGCCGCATTGAGTGCATGCGAGAGAGATACGATCATTGGAGAATATAAGAAAATCAATAGTTCAATGATGATATAATTTCAATTGGATATTTGAATATTATATAAATCAAATGCAACCTCATCGTACAATTACAATCATACAAGATCTATTTTTTGGCGGATATGATCACATACATCTCGAGAGGAATGAGTTATGGTCACAAATCTTTTTAGGATTTTCTTATGAGGGAACACATTTAACTGTCGGACGCCGGTCGACTTCATCTTTTGACTGTGAATAGGATTAAGTGAGACTAAGAAAATCCTAAAAGAGTTCGTACTCATTGACGTACATGAACAGAGATTTTATTGCCAAATAGGTTGAAGAAAATGGAATTTTTTTAACTTTTTCTTGACTTCGAGAAGCTGAGGATTGAAATTTTGAACATAGAATTTTCATTTGATACTACAACGTTGGCTCATATTCCGTCAAAAAAAACGAATGGATGGGTATGGGTGCGTCTTCTTCTTACCAATATCCACATCCAACACTCTATTTTCTTACATCTATGTGGCGATAAAATCTCTTTCTCGGCATGTCATGCGTACGAACTCTTCTACGATCTTCTTAGTCTCACTGCGCCCTATTCACAGCCAAAAAGATACATTCGAACGACGTCTGATAGTTGGAGATGTTTCCTCGTTAGTCTCATTGAAATCTACTTATGACCAAAAGATGAAATTAACAGCTNTATTTCAACATGAATTTACTTAATGATTTCATTAGAATTTTATTTAAAAAAGAAATTTTTTTCACTTGACTAACCATGAATAGAATTATTTTACTACTGTTTTATTACTTTCTGTGATGCAATCATATAGGCTTCTATTTAGACCAAAAAAATAACTAGAATTTGTTCAATACAGTTGAACTACTTTCATCATCATTGATGATGACCGTTATTATGCCGAATGATCTGCGTTCAAAATCCTAGCCATTTCTTTTTTTTTAACATTGAACATTTTCTCGTTTTTCAAGATGATACTACGATGAGATCCATTCAGTTTCATGCTTTGTTGTCAGATATGACATGCTTTACAAATAAATGAAATATTATCATCAATGCATCATAGAATTGAGAAATTCGATTTTTTTGTCACTGTTCGAGTTCTTTCTCCTAATCTATCAAAAGAAGAATTTGGGGTCCTGAAAGAAGTTTTTTCTCAAACAGCCCAGGCATCTCTTTGAACAAAAGATACAGATTATCTCGGTATCGTAACGTTCTTGCATATTAAATATATTGTCAGCAAGTCTGCTGTCAGGTTGTCATTAGTTCGAACTATGTTGCTTTTAACAGAGTGTTAACACGTACAGCTTCCTGTTGTAGAGTTCTCAATACTATTTTTTTTTCAATTACGTACTGAACAAAGTACATTGAAAAATAATTTAGTCTTCCAACATGTAAATGACAATATCTTATCTTCGTACAATGCACTTAATTCACAGAAAAAAAAACTTTCATACGATTGAGCCACACCTTGTGCAATAATCAGTTACATGTTTGATGAAAGAAACTATGGACCATATAATGATACATTTCATGAGACTTTTATCTCAAAAATACAATGAAATTAATGTACTCCATAATAACAGTTCGCTGGTTACAACCATGTGATGAACTTACTATATCGGACTATAATGTTATGAAGCATGACAAGTGTTACTCTTGCTTTTTCATTGTAGAATGTTGCTCTGATATACTAGTGTTACCACCACCTCACTCGTTTTCATCATCGCAACATGTATTCGTTCAGATTTGATCATTTACCTCTTGATAAATTGTAATAAACAACTTCTCTCATTCGTATGTAGAGCACGATATTTCTCCTGTTCATACATATTCGTTTTTTTTTTCGCATTATGTGTTTCTATTTCATTCAACGAGAATATACAAGACAACTAGTGCATTTCGGCTCCTCTCTTCTATATCAATGTGTTTTACCTTCTCACTTAAGCGCTCTTCTTCTGCTATACGACTTCCTCTTATGAATGATTTCTTCTCACATAGTATATGTAAAGACAACAGAGATGTTCTGCACCACACATGCATGAGAAAAATTGCTTATTACAATTTATCAAGAGGTAAATGATTTACTCTGATCAAATATATGTTGCGATGATGAAAACGTGCGAGTTGATGTCAACATCGATCTGCCAGAGCAACATTCTTTTATTCATGAAAGAAGCAAACACATGAGAAGTGAAATATTTATTAAGCAGTTCCAGTAGAGAACCACTGCATGTATGATCATCTTTCTTCAAACAACAAGAATTATCTTGCATAAATGCATATGATTATGTAACTGACTGAAGTCCAGGAGATTTTCGTGTACAAATTATGAACTCAAACGAATCCTAATATTGAAATTGAATGATAATGTACCTTTAATGTTTTAAGAAAAAAACTACGGGTACTAAAACATTTCTATTTTTTTGATAGAAATGATAGCATAATAAAACAAGACATTGTCTTACAAGGTAACCTTCCCAGGTGCCAGAGCGCTTTTCAGTCGGGGTTTCGCGTATCTTGTAGGATGTGGGGGTGTATATGTGGATGTTGTTTAACAGATGATCAACATCCACACCCACATCCTTCACTCTGAGAATTAGTGAGATTTTACAAAATGTTGCTATTTCCCAGTAATACAGCGTTCATGATAGAAAAAATAACAATTGAAAATTTCGATAAATTAATTCTAGAGTCGAATTCTTCGGTCAACTTTTATAAAACTCAAATATTTTCTTAGAATTAGCTTTTCTTTATTGAAGAAAACGAACACCAAAACAATAATATCTATAATTCAATCACTTATTTTGAAGTCAATTTAGTATTAACAGAAAAATTAAACTTTAACAATAACAATCAAGTACTCAGTCAAAGCTTCATTTAAAACTAAGGTCAATGATCAAGCCCTGGAGTCAGGTAAGTCTTGATGAATTACAGGTAATATGACCAGATATATGTCTTAAAAAGTTACAAGTACTATTCCAAGTTATGCTGTCTAGGTTGCCACTCAAAGATGATCACTTGGTTTGTTATAAAACATGGATTAGAAAATTTTGATAAAATATCTTCAAAGCAAATGAAGCTCGAAATTACAAATTTACTTCGTATTGATTTCACTTCTCTGAAATTCAGCGATATGTAGAAGCAAAAACATTCATGAAGAATCTAATAAGAGAAACATGAAAAAAAATAATGAAAAATTTTCTCTCTTAGTTTCTTTTTTTCCGATAAAACGATTATCATGGGAAAAGAGAAGAAAATGCACTCAAGTCGAACAGTACGGCACATGAACGGTTTATTGTATTACTGTTGGTCACGTTGATGTTCGACAGTAAAACAAACACGTGTTGCATCCATCACCGTTTGCACATTGTAGTTATATCAGATTGTTGAGATTTCTTAAATCCGTGGTTCAATATCATAAAATGATGTACAATCAATGGTTTTTTTTTTTATTGAATCCTTTCTTAGATTATCATAAGGCTTTCATGATTCAATGCCTATAAGAACCATAGTGTTTACTCTTCTCTCGTCTCTCTCTCTCTCTCGATATAAAGTCTCTATCAACTTTTTTCAATTGTCAATCGATAACTTTCATTGAACTTTATTTCACGCAATCAACTGTTGTACTTAATTATGCCTTATTATTAAGTTTTATGGTGTTCGAAATATGTATTTACACTTAAGTGTATATAGAGATAATGATTTATAGTATACTTCATATTAGTTGTTTCTTGATAATGAATAAGTATTATACATCGTGAAAGCGTTTCATTTTAGTCCTAATCTTCAAAAGATGTGTTTTAAGTATCAATATCTGTCTCTTGTCAAAGTAAAGACTATTCATCAAGCTTGTCCCATGGATTGTGGCGATGTTTATCTTGTACCCTTAGGATACTAAAAACATGACAAGATTTGTTTAAGATGTATAACAATATATTTTGCAGTTGTTTAAGCTCTGTATCTAGTGATCATATTTTATCACTTGAATAGTGAATGTAAAAAAATGTTGTCATCTATTATTCATCTTAAATTCTTTTTCCATTACATAATATCCCATTCTATTTTCTTTTAATTTTAGTCAGTAAATAGTTTTCTTTCGATTGAGTCTCTGAACAGTATATAATCTCATTACGATGAAATATTTTCCGTTCCTCTTGTATAGAATGAGAAGAAAGAGAACTCTGAGTGTGTAATACAGATAAGGAAAAGAAAAGTAATAATAGAAACAAGAACCGAGAGGGTATTGGGTAAAACTATGATTCATTGGTATTGTTGTGCTTAAAAAACTTGTCTATAACGTTTTTTATATCAATTATTGATTATATTTCATTTTTACAAATTTATTGTTATCGGATTGATCTTGTGTTTAGATTTAACAAAATATCTTAGATATTTCCAATATAGTTATATATGTTAAATATTTACGAAAGATTTATATTTTTGTTTGCATTCACAAATCGATCAAAATTCTAGTTAAACTCAATGAATATTTGATTCTTCCTTTCAAGATATTTAAAGAATGTTTTTCTTTTTAAATTAAGAAAAATCGGTAACAGTCTAGAATGTCCTTTCGAAAATGTCCTTGGACGAAATATCCTTTATTTTTTTCGTTCTTACATATATATGTATGTGAGAGGACGAAAAAATAAAGGACATTCTAGAATGTATTCAAGAAATCAATATGCATGTTGAAAAAAAATAAACATTAATTTAGCTAAGTAATTTTTCTGCGAAAAAATTGCACCTGCTAATTTTGATATGATTTGATAGTTTCTTAGTGAAATCTAACAATTTAATCTTGTTCGTTACATCTTGTACTGCGACACGTGATTCACGAGTAGTCGACACGCAATGCCCTTGAAATACAGAATTCATATATGCTTTTTTAACTACGTTTTTCTGATGATGGATGATTGTTGTTTATAATTTCTACCCGTTCTCAAAATCTATATCGAACTGAAAAATATAAATATAATTATGTTTTTTTTTCCATAAGATCAAATACGATTAATAGAGCAAGAAATCATCAGATATGATTTTAAAGTCAATTGTCGATGCACTCGTTCTTCCTTTAACGTTCTCCCTCTCTCTCTCTTTTTACTGTTTTCTCTCTCTCTTTTTACTATTTTCTCTCAGTAAAATTGTAGTCAACACTTTCAAGAATAAAGAAGGAAGAGAATAAAAAAATCGTCCGCAGTCACCTTTTGTTAGACCTATAAAAGCTGCTGTTTTATACTGGAAGGATACATTTCACAATTTTGTGCATCACATTTATAAACTTATTTTCTATTCGAACTTATTAAAATGGGTAAATCGCATTCAAAACAAACCTTTACTCAATGGGATTTAGATCGGTTCAGTAATGTTACTGGTAAATAGTTATTTTATTTTATTCTTATTCTTATTATGATTAGTCTTGCAATTAAATTGATATAGGTATTCCACGAGCTACAGTTGAACGACTTTATCAAGAATTTATTACAACAACAGGCAAAGATAATCGTATGGATAAAAAAGAATTTCGTCGTTTATACAAGGAATTGTACACAAGTGGACAAACTGGTGCAAGTGTTCCAGCTGTTGTTAGTGAACATGATTTAGAAAAAATTTCTGATCGTGTTTTCAAAGCTTTTAATACTGATGGATCAGGTACATAGAAAAAAAAGAAAGTCTTCAATATTTTTAACATAATTTATTCGATTTTTCTTTTTAGGCAAATTAAGCTTTGAAGGTAATTAGAATAAAAAGAAAATTCGATTACTTTTCTTTATTCATATTTAAATTAGACTTTGTCAATGCATACTTATTGATAAATCAAAATCAAACAAATACAATAATTACACCACGTGATCGATTGAACTATGTATTAGATCAAACCAGCTCAACACCAGGTAAGACGAAATTCCTTCTTTTTCTTTTATTATTTATTTGTTCACGCAATTTTTAGGTTATGTTACACGTGAACAAGGTCAACAAGTGCTCGATCATCTCAATCGATATTATACGTAAATGTTTTCAATAGTTAATTCATTTCTTAAAAGAATTCTTTTTTTTTTCTCTTTTAGTTATGAAGATACAACAAAAACCAAGACAACAACAACTACACCACCTGGTGCAACACAACCAGTGGCAACAACATGGGAACAACATTGGACTAAACTTGATGATGGTAGTGGCCGGTATGTTTTTATTTCATTATATAAGCGATTAATAATATTTATATATTTTAGTGTTCCACAAGAAAAATTTGTTGAATATGTTACAACATCAGATGATTATCAAAAGCATCTTAAGCCTACATAAGTTTAAACAAAAACTCGCTACCAATGACAAAATAAACTTGATTTCTTTTTTTTTCTCATTCTTTTGTATTTGTCATTCTGTTAGATATCTGAACACTTTTTCTTCTTCATGTATTTTTTCTGTTTGTATACACGCTCTGATTGTGAGAATGATCATGTAAAGAAAAATAAAGAGAAACACGCAAATCGAAATGTTTGACTTATTGAACAAAGAAAAAGAATTTTTTTTTACTTTTCATAGGTCAAATACCAAAATATGAACTATTTTTTGCAATTATAAATCAAAAAGAAATAAAATACAAAATGATGTCGCTAGATAGTGACTGACCATTTGGCCATTCGAATAGCCATTAAGAAAGAAGATGAAAAAAAATATACACACACGTACATGTGAAGTTGTTTCGTGTTTTGTCTTCGTGCTCTTTGTTGTTTCTCTGTTTATTTGTTACATGGTTTGATTTATTCTTTCTTTGAAGAACATAATTATTTATCTTTTATAATAATTCAAACGAAAATTCTATAAAATTTATCAATTACCTTTATTAGAAATGTTAAAATCAATTTTTTTCATCTTTTTTTTCTTCTAGTCTTCTCATTAAGTAAACAACATCTATGGATCGATCGATTGATATTTGTTGGGGGCATCTCGTTCTCTTTCTTTCTCTATTTCTGGTTGCCTAGCGCAATAAGTTAGATACTCTCATTTAATAGAATACAGACGGGGGTATGTAGTATTTGTATTTGCATGACATAATCTTTAGTATTCAATCGTCGACAACGATATATCGATATATATATATAAGCGTAAGTTTATTTTGAACAAGGACATATATAGAAAAGGATTGTCATGCTAATCAAATACAATGAAGCCATACGTTTCTAGATAATATCGTATCTGTATAAATTGACCTCTACGAATAGCAATAACAGTCACACATTTCAACTACTCTATCATCAATTGAGCTCCTTGGTTTTTTTTTCTTTCTGATAAGATATATCGAGGCTCGTTAACTTGGCATCTGTCTGTCTCCACCTTTCCGGTTTTTTTTCTTTCTCTCTTTCTCTTTTTCTCTTAATTTTACCACCACAGTGATCATACAATCGTCTCTCGTTATTTTTTTTTTTCTTTTTCTCCTGTTCTTGTCTTTATGTATGATTGACCGATGAACAATGTGTTGGTCTACGTAGTTGCGCGCGTCGTTGAGCATTGTCTATGAGACTCTATGACCACATAATTGTCTTGTACTTTCCATTTCTTTTACTGTTTTTTTTTTTTTAAGATTACCATTGCTATTATTCTAGTGTGTGTGTGTGTGTTTATATCAATCTCGGTTTCGTACATGGCACATTATCTATGGCGGCGGCTCGATTCATACGTTTTTTTAGTCGTCGTCAAACAAAAAATTCAGCAACAACATTAAATGATGAAAATATTCATTATACAAATTCAAAACTTCTTACAAATTCAAATGGAAAAATTCACTCAGCTGGAAAGAAACAACAACAACAACAACAACAATCAATACCAATAAAAAATGGTCTTGTTTGTACTGTTGTATTTCTTGATGGTGATGATGTCAATTTTGAAGTAGATGTAAGTTATATCCAAAGAAGAAAGAGAAAAACAAAGCAGCTCACGAAAAGTATATGATTGATAGAGTTGACCTGTCCAGACACATTTTTTTCATATGCATGCATAATTGATATGTCAGCTGTTTTCTATCGTCTATCGATGACCTGCCCTTATTAATTCTGTCTGGATGTGTATACTTTTTATTTCTGGCATCATTACATATATGTTTTTTTAAACATACATTTTATTTTTATATTGAATAAATAACGAGAAAAGTCATGAAATCGATTTGATGAGAATGTATAATGTTACATTAAATAGAATGAAAGACGTAAATATGTAATGAATATTAGTAGTCTTTCTAAAAGAGAAAGAAATGTTACGTAAATAACAACATATTATCAATCAATTATTTTGATCCGTTCTTGTTTCTTTTAGCGCAAAGCTGTTGGAAAAAGTCTCTATGATAAAGTTATTGCTCATACAAAATTAGTTGAACCAGATTATTTTGGTTTACAATTTACTGATACACATAATGTTAAAGTATGATTATTAAATGTAAATACTTTGAACTATAGTTTATTGATATTTTTTTTATTCTTTAGCAATGGTTAGATCCGACAAAATCATTAAAAAAACAATGCAAGAGTAAGAAAAACAAAAAACATAATGATTGAAATCAAAAAAGAAATTTTATTTATTTTTTGTTTAGTTGGACCACCGTATACATTTCGATTTCGTGTTAAATTTTATACATCCGATCCACAAAATCTTCATGATGAATTAACAAGGTAAGCAAAAGAAAAGAAAGAAAAAATAAGAAAATCAAATTTTTTTTGATATTTTCTTTTTTATTCAGATATTTATTTGTATTACAACTTAAAGATGATATTCGAACGGGTAAATTAGATTGTTCATCTGGTCTAGATATTGAATTGGCTGCATTGACAGTGCAAGGTAATATAAAATGAGAAGAAAAAAACCTAGATGATTTTATTATGAATGAACAATTCATTCATTGATATATGTAAATGAGAACGTGCCATTTTATTATTATTTTATAGCTGAATTGGGTGATTATACAAGTGATGAACATTCAGTTGAAACCATATCAGAATTTCGTTTTTTACCTGATGATAGACAAACAGAAGAATTTGAAGAACATGTTTTACAAAAATGGTCAACATACAAGTATAGAATATATTTGAATTTTAATTTGAAATTAAAAAAATCAATCTTTTTATCTTATTCCTATAACAGATGTTTAACACCCGCTGATTGTGAAGTACAATATTTAAATAAAGCACGATGGTTAGAAATGTATGGTGTTGATTTACATACAGTAATGGGTAAAGATGGTTTAGAATATAAACTTGGTTTAACACCAACTGGTATTCTTGTTTTTGAAAATAAAATAAAAATTGGTTTATTTGTTTGGTAAGAAAATTTCAAAAAAAAAGAAAATTTCTCTCAATTGAGAAAGAATTTTTTTTCGTAATCTAAGGTCAAAAGTAACACGAATAGATTTTAATCGTAATAAATTAACAATAGTTGTTGTTGAAGATGATGATAATGATCCAACATTACAACGTGATTTTGTATTTTTATTTCGTTGTTATGATGAAAAACAATGTAAACATTTTTGGAAATGTGCTATGGAATATCATATTTTTTTTCGTACAACAACAGCAGCAAAAGTTAAACAAGGTGCAAGATCAAATTTTGCACGTACTGGTTCAAGATTTCGATTTAGGTAAAAAAAAAAGATTATATTTGATTTCAATTAGAAAATAATTCATTGTTTTGTTTTGTTTTGTTTTGCTTCATTTAAAATTAGTGGAAGAACTGAATGTCAAGCAACAACATTAGGAAATTTAAATCGTCGTAGTATAAATTTTGAACGTAAAGCATCACAACGTTTTTCACGTCGTGCATCATATGCAATAAGAAAAAAAATTCAAGAACAAGAAATTTTACGTGAACAAGAAGATGAACGTTTAAAAAAATTAAAATTTGAACAAGAATCGAAATTAGATGAAACAAAAAAAACACCTGAGTAAGATTCGATCGTTTTTTTTTTTTTTTTTTCATTAGATTTTATATTCTATAAAAAACAAAATCATAAATATTTATAGAAAAAATCAAGATTCAGTATCAATTAATAAACGTTCATCATCACAAAAAAATTTAAATCTATCACCAACTCAACGTCTTGATAATCTTATTCAAGCTTCTACGAATGATTTAGCACTTGAAGGTAGAAAATAAAATTAGTTATGAAAAAGATTTCATTATGTTTTTTTAACTCTCTTGTTGATAGTACATGAAGGATGATGATAGCGTATTGCAGATTTCGATAAAGAAACTCTTTAGAGATCGTTCAACAAATATACTGAGATTTAGTTATTTGTGGAATTTAATCAAATATATATGGGAGTGCCCAACTTGAAGGATACCCCATTTTGATACACTCCTATTGTAAGGATAAAACATACTATTGTTCGGGTCATATAAGAGAGGATCCTAGATAACCCTTGATTGGCCCGAACAACATCATGTTTTATCCGTACAATAGTTGAGAAAAGCTACTAGCTTATCGTGTGAGTTGGTCGCTTTTCTCTACTATTGTACGGATAAAACATGATGTTGTTCGAGCCAATCAAGGGTTATCTAGGATCCTCTCTTTTATGACCCGAACAATAGTATGTTTTATCCTTACAATAGGAGTGTATCAAAATGGGGTATCCTTCAAGTTGGGCACTCCCAAATATATATAGTGTTTAATTTAGGAAACTACAGGCCTACGTTTTTACGGAATCGCGCTCGACAGATTTAGATTCGAGTATTTTTTTCAACTAATATCTAGCACTCATTGTCTACATGAACAAGTGAACGGATCAAGATTTTAATATTGTATTTGACTAATCTCAGAAAAACAGTCAATGTACATTTACTTTCGTATCATTCAATGTTTAATACATTAAAATTTTTCTCTTAGTTTAAAAGAGCATTATGTTAACAAAAAAAGGAAATTGAACAGTTAATTGATAAATAAAATTCGTCATGAAAAATCATTAAATCAGTAATACCAAAATCTTCAGGTGTATGAGTGGAAAGATCTGCAGCTTCCTTGTTTATTTTCTGTAATAAGAAAAATTCAGTTAATTAGAATCGAGAATATAGAATCTTTCTTTTCGAAGATAGAATAATGATTTCTGTCGTCAATCAATCTGTGCATGACACATACCATCCATAATTTAAATATATTTCTTTGTTTAATGACATGAAGATATGTCTGAAATCAGGATAGATTAGAGTTTTTCAGAATTAGTTTTGTCCTTGTCATAATTAAGTGAAGCTATAATTGATATATTAGAAAATGGATATTTTTAGATGAGTCATTATTCATTAAACTGTAAAATTTGAATCGAAATTTTCGCATTATTCGACATTGCTGGGGCAAGATGTTCAAAAATATTCATACATAAAAGCGAAATTGTATGCAATATAGATGAAAAACATCTATTAGAGAGAGAGTTCTACAATCTTCGAAATTAATATTTTTGTCTAATTTCGTCAAGTCACAATTTAGATTACAAGCTTTATGTGCTTGAAAAAGAAAGCCTAGATTAAAAAAACAAAAACCTTCGAATATATATTTCACTTGAATTTAGTTGAATATTTATAAGTTGTATAAATATCTCTGTATGTTCATAAGATATAATACGATGAAAATTAAAAATATTGCTGTTTCAGTTTAATCAACTGAGCTGACTTTTTGATTGATAAGAGAAGATTATTCGAAGTTCTTTTTTTTTTTTTATATGGATAATCAAAACAAACACTAGTATTATGTATAACTATTGATACTATTAAGGATATGTTACCTGTCGTCAAGTAAGAAAAACATATTTGAAGCGTTTCATAAATAATTTTCAATTATTACTTCAAAGAAATCGAAACAAACTTTATAAATAATACTATATTTATATTTATAAAAAAAAAACTGATCAGAACTTATCAGTTTAAATGTTGACAATTCTATTCGGTAATTAAGATATATAATTAAAACCGTTTACCTACTACTGAATCAGTAACTAATATGCAAAAATCAGTGTTTTATGCTTAAAAATTTGTAATATTGTGACTATTGACTATCAAGCTAAAATTATTCTAATAATTTTCTGTATGCACATGAATAAAGTATTACTTATAAAGTTTGTTTCAATTCGTTCATGTTATTCCTCTTAGATGACAACAGATAAAATATCTTTCATGATATCAACAATACTACATAATAATAGTGATTGTTTAGATTACTTGTATGAAGAAGAAAAAAGTTTTTAATAAACTTCTCCTATGATCAAAACAAAAAAAAAAACAGTTCAATACACGAAACCAAAGTAGAAATATTTTAAATTTCTATCATAGTGTTACTTATGGGCTCATCCTCTAATTCCGATAGATTTTGTCTTAGGGAAAAATTAGAGAATTTCTACAAGATTGCTTCAATATGGCATAGAGTTAGTAGCATAACGAAAAAAAAACAAATTGTAGGTTGACTCGACCTTTCTTCCTATGTCTTCAGACGGGAAGCGGACACCATACATTAATGTTTCTTCAAATGGGCTCAAGGCTTTCTAGATGTTTGAGCTCGTATCTGATTACGCCACTAATCATAGTAATAAGAAGCTTTTATTTCATTGATTATATTTTGGAAAAAAAAAGAAAAGTATCAATATACTGATAATCATTTTGCTAATAGAATTTTAATCATAGTTCTCTTTTTCTTTTTTATTTTAAAAGACAATGAATTGAAAAGAAATACAATAGGCCTTCTTCGTCCGCCACCAATTCCTCCTCGACAAGCAAAACCTGATGATAAACCAACAACATCATCATCATCACCAGCATCATTAATCCTTGTTAAACCATCAAATTCAATAAGTTCCTCTTCAAATGATAATAACAATATCAATACAACAAAAGGTTTGTTAATTCTAATAATAAAATCATCAATTGAAAAAGAAGGGAAAAAATTTCTTAAATCATATATTTATATAGAATCGTCCAAAGATAATCATGAACAACCATTGTTAATTCAAATGTCACCACAAAAAACTTCTACTTTGTAAATACATACAAAATCTTATAAAATTAAATATTCTCTTGTTTTTTTGTTTTATTCAAGATCAACCAATTTATCTATTTCTTCACCTACTGACAAAGTGAACAGTCCACTTAATCGATATACATTAGCAAATAGTCAATCACCATATGTTCTCAAGGTATTATTTTCATAACTATTTTCTTCAAAGAAGAAAAAAATGAACAAATTTCTTTTTTTCTAATAGCAAACTAGTAGAATATCTTTACATGAAAAATTTCCTATTATATCTGACTTAATATCGTATTCATCATATGATAATATATTAAATTATTGTATAAATTCTAAAACAGATTCAAATCTAATCTATGCACATATAGATTATAATTCTAAAGAAAAACAATCTGAAAGTCGTTATGCTAATTATGATAATTTATCATATTTAACTAAAAAAATTTCTAAGAAAGGAAAAATTTCTTCATGTAAAGATTATTTTGCTAATACAAAAAATATTATTTTTCATGAGAATAATCCACGTAAGTTATTTAATATTTGTCGTGGCATGGAATGAGAATCCTTTTGTTTTTTTTTTTAAATGCATGAATTGAATTTTATTTATTTTAAATAAAATAATAAACAAATTTTTTTATTATTTAGGAGACTTACTTTTACACAGAATCAATGACAGTAAATTCGAATTCAACTAATAATCAAAGTAAAATTTAATATATATTTTTTTTTAAATCTAATTCATTTATATTTTAAATAGATTCTTCAAATTCTCCTGCACCTGTTATTGTAACACGTACATTAAGTACATCAAATGTTCGTAATGCATCATCAACAATTGTTCAAACAACACCAACTACCTGTCAAACAGCTTCATCATCATCATCATCATCATCAGTTCCATTACCACATCTTTATCCTCGTACATCAAATCGTAGTTCATCATCACCATCTGTTGGTGTGATTCCATCATATCATCCAATAACAACAGAATTATAAAAGCTTGTGCTCTTCATTATGTTTTGTTTTTTTTCTTTTGTCTTTGTTATTATGTGTGCTTTTAATATCTTATCTTCTGTTATCATTTATATTATTAGGAAATATTCAGATATATTGTTAATCGATTTGTCTGATCAAACTTTTGCTTTTGTTATTTGTATACAAAACTGATGTTTTTGTTTGTTGCTTGTGAATCTGCTTGTCGTTTTTCTTTTGTTCTTCTTTGCGTGTGTACAGATAGAATTTTTTTGAGTGAATGCCGAATAAAAATTGAAAAGAAAAAGAAATCTATCCACCATTGAAAACCAATTTTTGTCATTTTTTTATTGATGATTCCGTTAGAAAGTGGTACTCTAAACATATGTGACACTTTTCTCTTTAATTTTTTTTGCATTATTCTTTATGTCAAGCCTTTATTCAGTGTATAATAGGTGCATTTAATTATCCTGTCATTTTTAATGATACAGTTATGTGTTTAGTTTGTTGTGTTGAAAGGCATCGATAAGGATGTTATGCATTGTTTAGATCAAAATCAACACAATAAAATGAGTTTTATGCTTCAAGAATTAATGACATATTATCACAGGCATTATCATCATCATCATCATCACTGATATAAGCATCTCTTGACACCAGCTGCGACACTGCCATAGAAAAGCACTAACGCAGTAAATTGCTTCGTCTCCTCCCATAAATATATTCTAGTCTATTATTGCCTTTCTAAACTATGATAAAACATTTCTATTTTATTGATAGTGTACAAACATCTAAAAGGCAAATGTGTACACACTTGAATTATAGATTTCATCTATTTATCTAAGTCATTTTTTTTCTTTCTATTGCAACAATCATCCGAGCTATCTAACGAGTAAGAAAAATTACTTTTCGTGTTTTTTTCTCATTAATACAGATGTCATAGTCGATATTGGTTTTCGTAATATTCTTTTTTTTTTCGTATTTTGTTTCAATTTCCAATCTTTGAGTGATTCATATATATTTTTTGCAAAAAAAGAAAATAAAGTTAATTCATCAAAATGCATTAGCATGTTATAGCTTGAGGAGTCAAAACCGCATCCAATCAAATTTATAATAGGAAAAAAAAAAAAAACAGCAAGAAAAAAAAAAGAAAACGACATGTATACGTAGCGACGTCATCATGCCGAACAATCATCATCTTGTCTGAGCTCTATTGATTGTCCTTGAATTCTCTTATCTAATATTATTATTTCTACATTATGAAACGAATACAGAATATTTCTTATTTTCCAGATGACACAGAACAGTACTAGTGGAGCAGCAAAAGATGCAGCTGATCAGAATTTTGATTATATGTTCAAATTGCTTATTATTGGAAATTCATCTGTAGGAAAGACATCTTTTGTATGTAATATTTCTCTATATTGTCGTTTAATTATATTTGCAAAAAAAAAACTAATTCTCTCTCTCTATATATATTTCTTTTAGCTTTTTCGATATGCAGACGATTCATTTACATCAGCATTTGTTAGTACAGTCGGCATTGATTTTAAGGTTAAAACAGTATTTCGTCATGATAAACGTGTTAAATTACAAATATGGGATACAGCTGGTCAAGAACGTTATCGTACAATTACAAGTAAATAAAATTCATGGAATTCTTCTTTTTTTTTTTTTATCCTTTTAAAATTCTTATGAGATTATGCAAACACTTTAGAAGACTTTTCAATCAGTCTCTTGAGATTTAATCGAAAAAAGAAAACAAAATAAATATATTCTCTCATTTTGTTTTGCTTTATTTTATATAGCTGCTTATTATCGTGGTGCCATGGGTTTTATCTTAATGTATGACATTACTAATGAAGAATCATTTAATGCTGTTCAAGATTGGTACGTATAGAGAGGAAAAAGTTGACGATCGTTTTTTCTTATTTAGACAAAAAAAAAAAAAAAAAAGAAATTATTTAAGAAAAGCGTACATCCAAAAAAAAAAAAAGACCCATTATTTTCAGGTGTACACAAATAAAAATGTATTCATGGGATAATGCTCAAGTTGTTTTAGTTGGTAATAAATGCGATTTAGAACATGATCGTGCTGTTACACAAGAACGTGGTCAACGACTTGCTGATCAATTGGGTAAATTTTGAATAAATAAATAAATATATATATATATACATATATGTTGGATGTACGCTTTGTAGTTGTTCGTTTTCTGTTATTATTTTGGGCTTTTTTGCATGTTTTGTATTGTGTTGTGTTTTGAAGGGTTTTACAGATAAAGACACATTCATGGGAGAAAAGCCCGGTGATACTTGTTGGAAATAAATGTGAAATGGCAGACGAAAGAGTTGTTCGCACAGAAGAAGGAGAAAAACTTTCCAGTGAACTGGGTACTTATAATTGAGAGTAGCGTGGCTTGTTGCTTATTATTATTTGTTTTTATGACTGTTATAATTATTCTGTCGTTTTTTTCTCTTTAGGTCTGGAATTTTTTGAAACTTCAGCCAAAGAAAATGTAAATGTTAAAGTTGTTTTCGAAAGGTAAAAAAAAAAACAAAATACAAAAAGAAAATTAGTTTCATAAGTAAGAACTTTATCTTTTTAGATTGGTTGATATTATATTGGAAAAAATGTCCGATACACCAGAAGATGGAAGTGGTACTGGTCAAGGAACTAATGCATATGGAAATCCAGGAGGTGGATATAATAAAGGAACTACAAGACTTACAGCTAATGATTCACAAGCTAAAGGAAATCAATGTCAATGTTAAAATAAAGATCTGAAAATGAAAAAAACAAACAAACGAATAAATAAATATTATTTCCACTCGATGTTTCCCTTATGCATTCATTTTTTTTTGTCGTCTGTTCGTCTTGTGTAAAGCAAAAGAAAAGTTTTCTGTAGTCATTATTATTATTATTATTATCATTATTATTATGTTGTCTATTCCGAAAAAAAGGAAAAAAAGTGATGAGAGAAAATACGATAAAATATTTGTTTTTCACTTTTCCTAATGGGATATCATTCCGATGTACGTCTGTCTTTTTATAAGTGTATATATATATATTATATGTATATGTGATGTATGTTTTATCTATCTTTTTTTTTGTGATGTGACCATGGTTTGTTTTGTCTCATTCTTGTTATTTGGATGACAAGAACCCTTCGATCTTTTTATTTTTTATGTGCAGTATTTGATGATTCACTTTGTCATTCGTGTCAAATGAGAGTTGTGTCATCACATCTTTAACCTATTGGTTCTCTTCTTTTCATTTTTTGTTTTAACCAAAAAATAAGATATGCATTCAAACAAATATTTGTCTATTGATGAATTATTGAGAGAAATTATTTCGAATATGAATAATTATATTTGTTTTTAATTATTTAAAAATATGAAGATGAATCTGGGCTATGTTTGTTTGTTTTTTTTTTATTCTTGAAATCAATTGAGACTGGGATTTTCTAGGTAAGGAAACTACGAATGTTTAATTAATATTAATATTTCAAATACCTGTTTTCTTTAGGTTTATTGATTTGTTCATCGTTTTTTGTTCGTAATGAAAAATATTTATGCATAGACTATTTTATTTTAATTGATTATAAACAATTAAAAAGACTATATGATTTATCGATTTCATTAGAATGACTTGTATATCTAATTTTGTTGATATGTAAGTGATTTTATTATATATTCTACTTTAATCTTATTTATTTATCTCGATTGTAGATTAAAAGAAAAATTTATTACTTATAATTAAAAATCTATAAAGTTGATAGTAGACTTTGATTTTTTTTTCTTCTGATGACTGTTATGTCAAATCTTAATAAATCGATTTATGTTCAATTCTATATGTCTGTTTTAATTTAGTTGTGATTCTTATGGGAATTTTTGAGTTAGACCAGAAATTGACTAATGCTTAACTCGAATTTGATTCGTTGGTCATGTCTTGATTGAGGAATTTCTCTTTTTTGTCAGCTGAGAATAAATAATCGGAAAACTATTTGGAAGAAAGAAAAACGACAACTTGTCAATAAAGATTAAAATTTGACCAAAAAAGACAAAATGGAAGTTGCTATTTCATGTTTTTTATTATACTGTAAAGAGCCAAATATATTTTTAGGAATTCAATACACTTGTAAGAAATTGAAACATTTAGCTGCCTGACTTTTATATAATTATAGTTGAGTTTTCATGATTGAACTATTATATGCTATTAACGAAGAATTAGATCATGTGTCAGATCATTCTTATTCAAGTTTTAAGACAATATTTGAATATAACTGCGCTATTATATATAATTTTATAGTTATTTGAGTCAAGGTAACACGAGATAACATCTGTATTTATTCTATGTTGATTCATCCAAGGTTTTTTACTCTATTATACTTTTGATATTTTTTAAATGTAATAGGATATGTTTCTTTGAATGCTGAGTTATGGTTTCATCCATCGAACTTATTTTTCATTCAACATCTTATTAAATTTATTTGTACATTGAGGATATTTTCTTTTTCTTTCTTCGATTCTCCTCTAGGAACACTTTTTTTCTTCTTTTAATTAGAAGAAAAAGACTAGAAGTAGAAAGTAAAACATCAATAATGCATTGTTATTTTCTATGCTTGATAATTCTTAAATTAGGTCAAATTTTGAAAGATTAATTTTCCCCTCGGAAATTCTTTTACCGTTTTGAAGCAATGGCTGATGTGAAATATAGTTTATACATTAAGACATAAAAAAAACATAAACTTTACTGTTTCAAGATTTACATGGCTAAAAAGCAATAAGCCAGTTATGTACAAAAACCTACTAAATCAATATTGTGATAGAATCTCAACGTTACCTTTTAGTAGGGTGCTTATTAATCTAATATCTTTTTGCATGGTTTTTAAATCTAAAATATTTCGACTGTTCTAGTCTATTTGCAAAAAAAATCTGAACAAGATACATCAGTTTTCTCATATGCAAAAAAAAAACAACAATCTATTTAATTTCTTTTTCAGATAAAATGGATGATGCAACTAAACATCGTATATGGTATATTTTTTTTTTGATTAAGATATTATTCTCAGCTTGATTTGATTGAATTTTTTGTTTATTAGTATGGTTTCTGATTTTTTCTATCCACTTATTGGTGGTGTTGAAAATCATATATATCAATTATCACAATGTTTGATTCAACGTAATCACAAAGTGATTGTTGTTACACATGCATATGATGATCGTGTTGGTGTTCGATATATGACTAATGGACTTAAAGTAAAGAAATTATTTTTATTATCTATAAAAAATATTTTACTTTTAATTTGTTTAGGTCTATTATTTACCATATAAACCTTTTTATAATAATACAATTTTACCGACTGTTTTTAGTACAATTCCATTAGTTCGTTCAATTTTACTTCGAGAACAAATCACTATTGTACATGGACATTCTGTAAGTTTTTATATTTAATATGAATAGAATAATTTATTCATTGTGAAGACAGTTTTTTTTAATTTTTTTACTGTTGTCTTTTTTTTTTTTTTATTATTTAGTCTTTTTCAACGTTAGCTCATGAAACAATGCATCATGCTAAAACACTTGGTATTCATACTGTATTTACTGATCATTCATTATTTGGTTTTGCTGATTTGAGTTCAATATTAACAAATAAAGTTCTTCAAGTATCACTTGTTGATTGTCATCATATTATATGTGTTTCACATACGTGGTAATTATTTATATAATCTGACGAAGAAATCTTTTCCAGTGCCAAATTTCTTATTTCAGTTAGACGATATTGATTTGATGAGTGCTCGAGAGTATAATAGATAAATCTACAATGGTTTGGTTTTTTAGACCTTCGTTCTTGTGATAGTTTTTTCAACAAAGAGCTATGCTCCACCTTAGGTCACCTGGAAAATTGAATTTCGTATTTCGACTTCAAACTTTGCATAAACCAAATTCTTAATGAGATTAGTTAATTGTGCAACTAAGTATTTCCTTTTTGGAGATCTATATATGTATATATATGAAGAAAATTTGCTTTTACACATTAGAGAATTTTGAATATTGAATATGTTAGGGAAGAGAATATTAGAAAAGTTACAACTTGCCCAATGCATCAATTTCATTGAGAACTTTGCTCATGAAAAGTTTGAAGTCGAAAGTTGAAAGTCAATTTTTCACATGATCTGAATAAGATCACATCGATTTTGTTGAAAAATCCATCTCAAGAAAGTCCGGAAAACCAAATCATTCTAGACTTTTCTATTACTCATTAGTACGCATCAGATAAACATCGTTTCAGTGGAACGTCACTATACATCTGCAGAGGTCCCTCGTAAACGGTGATGTCATCAAATTAAAAAGTTGACAATAATTTTTTTTGATTTATCAACAGCAAAACCACTCTTATTTTTCTTGTTTTTAATCACAATGATAAAGGAATGAGGGAAATTTGTTTTTTTCTCATAGAGAATTTGAGTAAATCCACCCTACTTTCAGAATAAAAGGTCATGTCTTTCTATTATGAAAATTCTACATCGCTCTTTCAAAGGTAACCTCCTATGTGTGCTAGCTTTTTTGCTAACATTTATCTAAAAATCTAAGCGTAACTCCTGTGAGATTAAAATGTGAAACACGATGTAACTTCCGTTGCTAATCACAGGAGATTATTTTATCTATTTTTGAATATATCTCTTCACTATCATTCTACTTAATCTTCGAGAGATGCAGTAAGAAAGTAGTTCAAATATTAAAACGAGACGTTATATATATATATAGTCTATGCGAGGAGAGAGGATTGAAGTGGGTCAAAATTTCTATCCTATACCGGGTGTGGCAAAAGTTTTGCAACATTTAGTATTTTTCATATATCTCAGTTGAGACAAAAGATAAAATTATGAATTTAATTTTGAAAGATGCATTATTCAATTCTCTACAAAAGTGTATTTACCTTAATTTAAAATAATAGAACTATAAGTTTTTATGGGTCAAATAGTCTGCTTATATGAATTGCATTTGTGGCCTATCCGTTTTTTAAAAAATTATTTTTTCTGTACGAACGAATATTTCACTTTTAGAAATAGCAAACTGCCAAATAATTCTTCAAAGTTTCGGTCGATTGCTTACATACTTAATATTTATTTTTTTCATTAGACACAATTTTCCATGAAGCAATATTTTGAACATCACAAAATTTTCTCTCTTAATTACTCCGTTTCAGAAAAAACCTCATTAAGGATGTGATTTATGGCTAAACCAAGTTTACGTTTGCAGTATTATAAATAAAACTGACTTCTCTTTCTGCTGGAAGTTCTAAAAATATTTGATAGAATGATTCATTTGCAAGAAGAATCTGAACATCGCCAAGAACACTGCTTTTACAATAGCATACCAAACAGACCACTTTTATTAGACCCAAACGAATTGTAATCGAACGCAGACAAATTATTCTGAAAGATCATTGATATGTGATCGTACTGATTATATAATTAGTTTCTTAACCATCTGTTTATAAGAGGAGAAACTTAGAAAACGTATAATAAAAAAAACGTGTGGGACATAGAGGCAATTCATATAAGTACACTGTTTAACCCACAAAAAACAACAGTATATCTTCCAAAATTAAATTCATAATTTTATCTTTTATCTTAACTGAGATATATGAAAAATACTAAATGTCGCAAAACTTTTTTACCTCGGTATACTTCAACACTCCCTTTAGATCGTGTTTCACAAAAATTAAGGAGTTTTGAAAAACTTTTCTGATAGTCAAAAAGGCGCTTTTTAGCAACTAAGTGCCAGAAAAATCAGGTTTTTCACTAGAAAAAAAAAAGTAATTTTTGTTACAAAACAAAAGGGTTTTCCGAAAAAGATTTTGAGAACCTCAACGCCTTCTGTTACGTCTCGTGAAGTTTCTCTTATGTGTGATTTTCTAACATAGGATGGTCTCGTATTCTGGGAAAAGATTTATGATCAATGAAATATTTTGTTGCTTAATATTTTTCTATTTTGATTAGACAAGCAACGATGAATCCAAAAAATTCATCATAAATGTACACTAATAAACGGTTTTCTTGACGATTGCAAGTGTTTCTCAGTATATAAATGCAAATGAAACCAATGATTATCGTCAGTTTCTCATACATTTACATACTTCATCGGTGTTACCTATAATGTTTCTAGATGAATTTCTACTTCGAATTATTTCTGAAGAACATTAGTTAGGTATCAAATTTTAATATTGAAAACAAGAAAAAACAGAAATACGTATTTTGGAGTAATTTCTATTTTTGTAACTTAAAAATTGAAATAAAAAAAAAACATGAATCGATTAGCTATGACGTAAACAATCGAATAGTATATGTTTTATCTTAACCGAAGATAATCTTGATCATTAAATTGAAATTTTTCTAAAATCTACTCTCATTTGACTTGTCAATGGCAAAATTCAAAAGAACAAGAATACGTCGACTGACATAATCAAAAATCAAAGCAAAATTCAATGAATATTAACCCTATTGCTTTTGTCATGTCTCGTCTTAGACATGAACTAATTATTATTCAGTTAACCATATATCAATCAATAGAGAAATGATTGCCTATTCCGGAAACTAAAATTTAGTTCCATGCCATGTCGTGTACTTGAATAATCAACGATTTACAAACGAAATATTTTCTTTCTAACACAATTAGACTGACGGAATCTTTTTGTAAAAGCAATTTGTTTTCATTTATTAATTATCAGGATGGCAAGAAAAAACTGTCTAAGATACAAAATTATCTTTCAGAGAAAAGCGGAGATAAAATAATAACTGTATCATTTACATTTATTTTTAGTAAAGAAAATACAATGTTACGTGCTAATTTAAAATCATCTAAAGTATCTGTTATTCCCAATGCTGTAGATTCATCAGCATTCACACCTGATACAAGTCTTCGCCCATCATCATCAGATGAAAGTGGGAAATAAATTTTAAAAAAATGAAAATATTCTTTTATATTTAATTTTAGTTGTTATTATTGTTGCCAGTCGTCTTGTTTATCGTAAAGGAATTGATCTTTTAATTGGTATTTTACCGAAAATTCTTCAAAAATATCCAAATGTTAAATTTAGAATTGGTTGTTTTCAATTAATTAAATCAATATAAGATAAATATTTTTGATTGTTTTAGCTGGTAATGGACCAAAAGAAATTGATATTCGTGAAGTAATTGAACGTGAAGGTACTGAATATCGTGTTGCATTAGGTAAATTTTTCTTTTATCATAGAAATATATTTTTCAAAAACAAAAAAAGAATCAACACAAATTATATTTTTTCTTTAGAGGGTCCAGTTAGTCATGATAAAATGCGAGATTTTCTCAATAGTGGACATATATTTTTAAATACATCGTTAACAGAAGCATTTTGTATGGCTATTGTTGAAGCTGCTGCTTGTGGGTACGCAAAAAAATTGTTATTCGTAAAAAAAAAACTAGAAGAAATAATTGCTTAATAGCCTTGAAAAATGTTGACTTCCAATTCAGATAATTCAATTATCTTTATCCTTGAGAAAGAAGCTGAAAAAGAAAAATATGAAATTACTTATGCATTAAATTATTTTTCCTAATATTTGTGTTTCTTTAATTAAAGTCTTCTCGTTGTTTCAACTGAAGTTGGTGGAATACCTGAAGTACTTCCGTCAAATGATACACAATCCGATATAATGATCTTATGTAAAGCGAATATAAATGGTTTGTTCGTTTTTTTTACAAAATAATTAGTTTATTTCATTTGTTTTTCATTAAATAGAGGTTTTTATTGGTTTGTGTAATGCTATTGATAGAATACAAATTGGTCAAATACCTAATGCTGATGAATGGCATAATAAAATAAAACATTGGTATTCATGGTATTGGGTTGCACAGAATACAGAAATTGTTTATAATCATATAATGACTCAAAAATCAATTAATCTTAAAGAACGTATTCAACGGTTTGTTGAAAATTTTCATAGAAGAATATAATTTTTTTTTTTTTTGATTTATTATAGATATAAACAATGTGGATTTGTTAGTGGTTTAGTAATGAGTTTTGTAGCTATAATAGCTTATTTAATATTTCTTGTTCTTGATTATAATCAACCTAAACGATTAATTGATTTATCTATTGATTGTTCAAAAGAAGATTTTGAATAAATTTTTTTGTTTTTCTTCTAGATATGAGTTTAATAAAAAATCATTTTGAATATTTAGCAAATGAACTTATACATGACATATTTGATTATTTATCATCTAGTGATTTAATAGAAAGTTTTAGTCATTTAAATAAACGTTTTACAATTCTTCTATCACAACGTTTATTAAAAATTGATTTATCACATGTATCAAAAAATCAATATGAAAATTTAATTCATATTATACCATTAAATCAAATAAATTCTTTAAAAATTTCACATAAATTAACAATAAATATTTTATTTCGTATTTCATTTAATTTAATGACTAATCTTCAAATATTAATATTATCTCATGTTAATTATAATGATTTACGATATTTATTTGAAAGAAAAAATATTTTTTTCATTTTTCAACAGCTAAATACATTAAAAATTCAATCAACAAATTTTAATGGTCTTGATCGAGAAAGAATATTTGTATTAAAAAAAATTTTTTCACAAATGCCAAAATTACGAATATGTCAAATACCATTGATGGATGTTAATGATTTTGATGATTTAATACCTACATTTACATTAGAACAATTAATTATTAATTATTGTACAATGATTTGTTTAGGTAAATACAATTTTTTATTTTAATAACTAAATCTACAAAGGGGGTAGACAATAAAACAAAATTTTTTTAAAAAGTTAAATGAATAATTGAATAAGAATTAAAATAATAACTACGATATATGAAGAAATTGTTTGTTTCATTGATGAACTTGCTTTTTT